ATTTAAAATGGTGGTGTTACAAAATGGATGTCACAAATTACAGTTTTTCAATTGGCTATTTGTTTAAAAGAGAAAATGCTCTCTTAAAAACAGGATAGACAATATAATGGAGAGGAGAAATGGTGACAAAATTACTTTGTGATAAAGTTTATGTAGAACGATATTTTGCAAAAAATAACAAACATCTTTGTTTAAAATACACAGTATCATTAAGAGCCATGAAGTTAACTGATTAAATGATATAACATGTTTTGAAACATTTTTGAATCCAGAAAATTCCAAATAATGAGCCTCTGGCTTTTGATTTCTTTAGATATTATTTCTAGCAAAGTTAAGACTAGCAACTAACAGAACATCTCACAATAGGAATTTTAGCTGCAGAGAATTAGAATTTTAAATATTTTAGACTGAATGTTGGTCCTCTAAGTATGCTTGTTTGTGAGAAAATTCATTTGAGTTTCAGGGTTTCTTTAAAAGTAGGAAAAATATTATTGATTTAAGATTCCTTTCAGTTAGGATTATGATACTTATACATGATTTTTAATTATTTCCATGTTTTCCAAATACCATATTTTAAAGAAATCTGTCCTATTAAAGCTGACTATAAAAGGAAATTCTTTAAAGCAATCCTGCTTTGCCATTGATTTCCATTTTAAAGGTTAAGAAAGGCTTCTGTCTGAAATTCTTCAACTAGGGTCATATTTTTGGCAATAAAAGTATTATGATTCACACTGGATGATGAAGTGTATTTGCAAAATAGGATTTGTTAGGAACTTTTGACCTCACCAAGTGTTTCTTTTCCAGTGCAGAGAGCACTTGACTGACTTACCTATTACGCAGCTTTCTTATGCCTGAGGTATCTTCAGCCAATTCTCCTTTTCATTTTATTAGGGTATTCATAATACCTATATGTATATATATTAGACTACGTATTTAAAAGTCTGAGGTCTCATTATATGAAATGGATTTTTTAAAAACTATGTTTAGATACATTGGCCTACAAAGAAGATTAAACATTTAGGTGAATAATTCACTGTTGCAGTATATGTATACTTCAACCTACCTCTTAGGAAAAGCTTAACACAAGATTAGTATTAACAACATTAATATCACTTTTCTCATATATTTTATTATAGCATAGAAGTTTTATAATTTACTAATGCAAACAAAATTTGCAGTCTTTAATAGTCTTAATTTTGGAATTTATAAAAGAATGACTTAAGAGCTCCTAATTTTTTAAGTGTAAGTAGAGATATGCTGTGCATTCTTTTTATGTCTTTGATTAGTAATCAAGTACCAGAAAGTGAATATGCAGTTCCTGCTTTAAAATTCAGAGTTTATGTTTGAGTTCTAGAGGCATATTGTTGATTGTTTAAAAATTACTTAAATCTGAGCCATAGGACCTTTAAAATCTCAGCATGCCTTTTAATCTAGTATTTCTGCTTCTGTTTTGAGCTCTGCAAACTTTCAGCAAGCCAAAATTGAGTTATTACCCTTTTTCAACACTAACAGAATAGAAGGGTTGCTATTTGTTTACTACTTATGATATAATGCCTGGATAAATGCTTGGTGTCCCTTTATGATGATGATACAATCAAAGCATAGTTTTTCCCCCTTTCTGAAATATTTCTTTAGTGATGAAATTGCTTTGCATTTAAGAGGAGAAAACATGGTCAGGTGTGGTGGCTCATGTCTGTAATCCTAGCACTTTGGGAGGCTGAGCCAGGAGGATAGCTTGAGACCAGGAGTTTGAGACCAGCCTGGGTAACATAGTGAGACCTCATCTCTACCAAAAAAGATTTTTAAAAACTAGTTGGCCATGATGGCTACTAGGGAGGCTAAGGTGGGAAGATGACTTGAGTCCAGGAGTTCAAGGCTATAGTGAGATATGATTGGGCCACTGCACTCCTGCCTGGGTGACAAAGAGACACTGCATCTCTAATTAAATACATATATAGTAGGAGAACAAACTGCTCTGGAGTTTTTGGTTTTCTTTTTAGTTTTTAAATTTTATTTTAAGGAGAAAAAAGAACATAAGACATTCATTTAATGTCTCAACCACAAACATTTGCACTGTAAACAAAATGACAAATTATGAAACAATTTTCTTGTCCTTTTAATCCTAGGAGAGAAAATTAAGATCATGTACCCTCAAATAAGCTTCAGTTTCCTATATTTAAACTTTATTTTTCTTCATAAAACTATAGCAATGTTTATCACTTGGTTACATTTGCTTTTCCTCCAGGGAAGCTAAATTGCTGTATGTGATTGGATTTATTTTATATTTTTCATATTAAAGATGAAAGTGATAAAAATTGAACAATTGACTCAAAAGGTAGGTTTATAAACCTCTAAACAAATTTGAATACAAACAAGGTTATAATCAATGAAACACATTGTTTTGGCAACTTCAAATAATATTGGATGTTTAACAAAAGGAATTAGGGTAACTCTTCTAAATATAACTCATTTGTGCCTTTCAAATGTAATTTAAAGTAAAACAACTCAGGATGAGAAGGCATGGGGAAAAATACACGTTAATGAGAGCTATATCCTAAAGCAGGTCTTCAGCAACAGCTTATATAACTATGTAATAAATGTTTAGAAATTCTTTGTATTCTGTTTTCAAGCAGTTATGCAAGTGGCTTTTTACCTTTAAATTCTTCAAGGTATTTTTCTAGAATTGACCCAGGTTGCCCTATTTCACATCTCACCCATTTACAGTTCCAGGTTGGGATCAGTATTTCAAATAAAGTAGGGACACATCTAAACTGTATATCGATGGGATGTTTCTGGCAAAACTCAGTTTCAGCTAAGATTCTTTTGCCACAGTAGTATCGATACTTCCCAGGGCACCACTGTCTAGCAAACCAATTGCATCCTAAAACCAGCAATTGCTAGTCTTACTTTGTTAATTTTTAAATTTTTTTTTTCAAAGTAGGCAGTGAGCATTTTTCCATACCTCTATGTGGGCGTATGGTACAATGGTTACTTCTTACTATAGGCAGTTGCTTATGTTCCCAGAATTATTAGAATAGCAATTCCAGAAAAGTAGCCATGTGGAAATGTACATCTTATTCCTGTGAACTTTGAAAATCTTTGATATTTTTGGAAACTTTAGGCTGTCTTTAATTTTTATGTTCACTGTGAGACAACACACTATTTGGGTATTATGAGGCCAGTCTACCTTGAGATAATTAGTTATTTAAATGAGGTGTTAAATGGAGGTAATGTTAGGCTAGTATAAAATTATAAGAGGTGTTTTTCTGAGGTGTGTGCCCATTTGCCTCAACTTTTTCTAGTATTAATTGCCTCAGGCAGTGGCTCTTCAGCTCTGTAATACCTGATTTTATTTAAGGTATCTTGTGATTACAGAATATAAGGATTACTAAAGGTTTTTAAATATAGGTGCCTTTTCTTTGTACTTTCCATCCTATTCCTTCCCAACATGGAGGTTCTTTCCCATTTCTTTGTATATATTAGGCATTCAAATAATTGTTAATTGGTCTTGATGTGAAATAGTTACATACTAGGGATTTTCTTTTATATAGATACCTACTTTTACTACTTATTCATCAAAAGAGAACTTTGTGTCATTGCTCTGACGCCACAGGTAGAATACTCAGGTAAATGTAACCCTATTAATGGTGTCAGAAAAAGTGAAGCATTATGTACCTATATGTTAATTTATATTCATCTGATAGGTACTCCTGTGATTGAATTTGGTTGAAAGAGTACTTTGGAAGATTATTTCCTCCTTCAGGGGGATGGATGAGATTTAATGCAATATTCAGCAGTTAAAGACAACACAAGAAGAAGGGGGAAATTTAATTCAAATTTTTATTTACTCAAAAGTCAAAATGTGAGTATTTCATTAGTAGAGTTATTAGTGAAACATACAATGAAAAGATAGTGAATTCTTAGAGCTATCATGTTTTAATCCAATCCCACTGAACTATATCTTGATTTCATGTTTATTGTATTAGTTTGTATCTTGATGTAACTCAAGTATTATGTAGACATCTCAAACTAAAGATCACCAGGTGCTTTGTTTCATAGCTGGGCTATGTGCCATGGAAAGTAGTTCCCAGAGTTTAGATGAGATTGGGAAAGACATTGCCCAGAAGAGTTCCCCTTACGGAGCTCGGGATAATGTAATATGGGGCTAGATACTGCCCTGGGGCCTTCTATACCTAAACTACCTGAATGTGCCTTTCTGAATATTACCAGTTATTCCAGAAAGTGAGCATAAATTTAACTGCCATTCTTTGTTAACATTTTATGCCTGTGTAATTTTCAAGTAGTTGTGTGATGGATTATTACTTTTTAGTTGCTTAAACCCCCAATACTACATTTGAATAATACTCCATGTTTTTAACTGGAAGACATGCTGCAATCCAACAACACTCATCTCAAATATGAGGAAAGTTGGCATAAAAGTTATTTAGTATAGGAATTTGAGAATATATGTAGTTTTTACTAGTTTGTATTATACATAAAATATCTTTAAGCAAAAACCACCTCTAAACTTAATAAAGTATTTACTTTTCTGCTGTACATTGTACAGTTATTGTGCAATTGGAATGATCAAGATATTAATAAATCCTCTGGTGATCACAGAAGAGTACTCTTCCCCACTTTATACAAGATGACTAAAACTAGAATTTAAAATTTTATTCAAAATTTTGCTTTCCTCAATGGCAAAGATCAAGTGTGACTGGGTTTTTACATAATTCTAGTTAGGACATTCCCCCCGCCCCACTCCTTGTTAGCTTCTCTCATTGAGGCCCGAGTGAAAAATAGCTTAAATATAAGGAGTTTGAAAACTTTAATGGACAAAAAGGAAACTCTTGAGAGAAGGTTATCAGGAAAATTGGGGATTAAAAAGATTTAGAAATAGTAATTGTCAAATTCAAATTATGAGAATCCTCAATGCAAATATGCTTAATTCCTCATTCTGTACATACTTGTTCCTTTTTAGGTTTAAGTGGTGGGCACAGTTAAGAAATGTGAACCCACTTTATTGATCCCCCCCACCCCTCAACAAGGATTCCTAGATAAAACATGGGAAGGCAGGAGAGACATTTTTCTTTTCAGGAGAATTATTTCTCTGTCAGCATTTGCGAGGATATTGAGGCCATTCTTCTACTCATCTTGACTTTAAATCTTTGTACTGGTAGGTACCCCAGAATGGTTCCAAGGTTAGTACTGTCTTTCTTTAGCTTATTTCAGCTTCTACCATGTGTTCTTCCATGTTTATTGAGTCTAAATCCGCTCAAGGAAAAAAGAAATATAGAACAGTGGGAGTACTTTCATATTTAATATGCAAGGGCATAGAACTTTAGGAAACAATTTGGAAATATTTTTTCCTAAAATATTTGTGGTTATAGGCTAATTTATGACTTTCCTTCTCTCACTGAAATAAAAAGAATATATAGTTAAGGAACAGGGATGAATATATAACAGCACATGTGACATTTGACAGCTTGGGCATGTTGTTACTTCCTAATCTTGAGAACCACAGTTTGCTGTTTTAGAGGTATCTGAGAGGTTCCGGATAAAAGGTGTTTCCCGAATGTTCTTAGACCTTGAGTGTGCTGGATGCCCTAAAGTAGGAAAGGAATTTGTAACAGAAGCTCACGATGAAGAACCAGACATTCCGGGCCATCTGAGATCTTGCAATGAGAAGGCGCCAGGCGATAAGGAAGAGTGCAGTATTAAAGAGGTAGTGAATATTTCGGAGCCTGGGGAACAGACATACATAACCAAAGTTAAAACTACCAGATATCCAGCTACATTACCTGAAGATAAATGTTTCTTTTCCTGACTGTGACCAGCAGATATTTATGAAGTACTCACAAGGTATGTGGCATGACTTGACGGCCTTAGGTTTTTGTATCTTTCATTTCCATAATGTTCTTGCTGAATAGTCAGATTTCCACCATATTTCCCTAATTTCTCTTGTATACCTCTCTCTGCTTGAAGCTATTTACAAGCATGACTCACTTAATCTTTCTTAAATATACTTTGATCATATTACCACCTCATAAATTTTTCACTAGAGGGTAAATTCTAAAGTTCTTAGCCTGCTATTCAAGGTTCTTCCTGTTTGCAATCTGTTTCCATCCTTATCTGTGCTCTACAAACCCTCTGCTTCAAACCAGTATTATCCCAGAGTGCTAATAATTCTTTGTCCTGTAGGGATTATGACTGAAAGAAATTTCAGGAATTTGAAGGAACTGGAGCGTAAATTGTTTTTCTCAGGTCTCCTAACATCATGTTGTGATAGGTTGTTGTAGAAGAAACAGAAACTCGGGTTCAAATCTGCCTCCTGTACTCACTATATGTTACCATGGACAAGTTACTTGTGGTGGTTGAGCCTAAATACCTGCTTGATAAAATAGGGATAATAAGAAGACTACTTGCCTTTTAGGAGTGTGGTGAAGTCTAAATGAAACAGTGTATTACAGGCATAGTATAGAGCACAGGACTGGTAAAGCAGTGAATGCTTAAGAAATGTTAATTTCTCCCCTTCCCTGCTCAAATTTTATGTCTGATATAAAATCAGACACATGGTAGGTGCTCAATAAATATTAACTGACTGATTATACTCACCTTTTTAAGTGTTGCTTTGCTTCTGGGATCCCAGCCATATCTTCTTTCAATAAGTACTTTTTTATTCCTAAAACATAATTTTCAATGTATTCTAACCAGTTCAGCTGGCGCACATCAAAGTTGAATACCTGAAAGGAAACAGAGATTGTTGATTACCAAAATCATGCTGCTGAAAGTTGATGAGGTTTCTTTTATATATATGAGTTATGTTCCATTTGGTAGACATAGGTTGGAGCTCTCCAAAGGAGAGATTATTTGAGCAATTTTTTCAAAGGTACTGATAGTATGGATTACTATTGACATAGGAGTATTTAAACATGGGCCAAGCAAAACAATTGATATTTAGGAAGTCTTATGAGGAAAATTTAAAGGAACTGATATATTACTTAGTGTAGTGAAAGCTTATGGTTTGGCTTGGTATACTTTTTCAAGTAAATGAGGAGTAAATATTTTTAAAAGTGATGAAATAATACATTCGTGACCAAAACCTAAATTATGTTTTTTCCCTTAAATTTTGGTGTTGTGCCTTTGCCTGGCATCCTTTCTGGTAGGGTTACCAGGTCATTATGCAGATTAGAGTAAGCTTTGGGAAGCAAAGCCTTAAGGAATAGGTTAGCAGAACTTGTATTTTAAAAAAAAGGAATGGTGGTGAAAGAAAAGAGGAGGGAGAAGGGAGAAGAGACAGACTGATTTATTTATTTGGGAAGAGAAAGTTTGCCACATAGAAGATAGGTATTGAGAGCGACATTAAGGAAAGAAGATTAAAACAATTTTTTTGCATCATTAAAAAAATATTCTCTTTTTGGTTACTGAAATGCTAGAGTAAAGGTTTTAATTGCTTTCAATAGATTTTATTTCTTCTGTACTTTCCGTTGAAAATGATGCTATGCTGAGACAGGCTTGTGGGGCTCAGCCTTATATGGATTACAAATAGAGACAGAATGAGTCGAGAAGAGAAACCTGATAGGTCATTCTTGAGCCATGTAGGCTACCGCTAAAAAGAGCTAAATTGGGGAAAGAGAAGAAGAAAATGAGTTTCAAATGTGATTGACTATAAAGAACTTGGGGCAATAAAAATTGTTAAACAGTGGAAAGAGTATCAGGAAGATTGTGGTATCATCTCTAGAAGTATATGAAGTATTAGGTACGTTTGGGTTTGGCCCTGTTGAAATAATATCAGATAAGAGATTGCATCACTGGGTGGATTTGGTTTTATAGGTATTCATTTGGTGTATTTGGAGAGACTGCCCTGGAAAATGAACTTGCACTAGCATTAAAAAGTTTCCAATATTTAATAGATCTTAGCAAGTGGAGGGTTTGCTTATGGTACCTCAGTCCTCCCCATTGTGCACTTTTCTCTCTCCTTTGATATAACACACTCTCTGATCACTTTTTGCCTGTTTAAAAGCTATTATCAGCAAAGAGTTTCTCTTGTGTACATTGAAGGAGAATTGCCTGATTAGTCTTAACTGACTAAACTTAGTGAGTCCTCACTGTGAAGGATTTTAAAAGCAAAAAAAGTCTACATTCAAATAAATGATGTTCTTAGAACAATAGCTGGCACAAAGTAGGCATTCAATAAATGCTTGCTGAATACATTAACGTTAATATTAATTTTAGAAGCCAAAATGTTTTTTTGTTAAACAGCATTTTTTTCTGTTGTTTGATCTTCATATAAGACTTGTATGAATATGACCAAAGTAAAATCTTAGTTTCCTTTTTACAGACAGCTACTCTTTGATGGAGGCTTAGATTGTACCAAATAAAAGGCATAAATTGTCAGAACCAAAAAGCCAGTTACCACTAAAAGTCAAGTTTATTGACCTTGACATGGATGTACTATTTTCTGAGAATCTCTTGGGTTTCATTCATAACTTGCATCTTTCCTCCAGAGTCTATAATTAGTTTTGTTCCCCTTTATCTAAGAAATGTTAAGCTTCTAAAGAATGTAATTGAATTTGACATCTTAAAGATTTAGTAGTTCTCTAGGGCTACTTAATTCTATCTCCTTTATGTGCAAGTAAAATTTTTATATATTAATCACAGAAAACCAGCTTAGACCTGGGAGGAGAATAACTAAATATTAATATCCCCATTTAACATTCTGAGTATTCACTAAACATTTAGCTCATTTAGTAATGAGCTCTTTGCTGAGTCATTATCCATATTGCTTTTGGTTTATCCTCTCACCTTTCATGGAGAACTATGACAAGAAATAGCTTTTTAAAAGTTACTAATTCATTGGCTGTAGAGATGTTATCCATTGTGTCTCTTGCTTATAAACATTTCTTTTTGAGTTAAATGGTAAGAAAAACTTTGCTTCTCTTGGAACACTGGTTTATTTTCTCCTTTTGGACAATGAGTTCCATGAAACTATATTTTTCTTTTCACTTTGCCACCAGAAAGCTCAAGAACAAATTCCCTAACTACAGCAACTTAGTAGGATCTTTGAGATTATATATGAACATTCTGGTTTTTTTGCTCCAAACTGTGACTTCATATTCTGATTCATATTTTCCCTGGTTTTTGTGTTTTATTTCTGTTTTATTCTTTTATTGTATTTAAGATATCGCAAAGCTTTATGAAATTTGGAGTATTAACAAAGAGAGCAAATGTAACAATCTCTAGAGAGCTTCATAGGCGTGTCCAAGAACTGAATTGCTTTTTGAAAGTAATTCCATTATTCCTTTGGACATACTTTTTCACAATATCACTAAATATCATTTATTCATCTATATATTAATAAACAAGCTTTTATTTTTATACTGTTTTAACATTTCTAAGTTAGATTTCAACGAGGCCCTAGTTTGGAATTTTGATTCCATATGGCAAGTCAAACTGAATTCTGAGCCACACTGGAATTTGGCAATTACTTTTAGATCTATTACTTTTGAAAGTTAATTTGAGAACATATGTTAAATCCACTGAAGCTTTGATTGTTTCTTTTTGCAAAATTTTCAATCATTTTAAGTTGAAATAGTAAAATGTCAAAAATGAAACTAAGCTCATTACCTTTTTAATTATTTACATGGGTAAATTACATGGAAAAGTACAACAAGGATAAGCCTACATAAAATTTGAAGCTAATTAAAAAATATGATAGCTTGAGTTTAGTTATTTTTTATAAGTTGGTTTAATCATCGTCATTTCAAACACTAGTGCTCGAAGAACTTTGTCTATACAAGGTATGTAAACATTTCTGAATAGCTCTATTTCATGTCAATTTGAGAGGTACTCAGCACTGATTTCAGATAAAATAGCCTTCTAAATTTCACCTGGTTTACTTAATACAGCATTATGGTGTTTGACATTGCAAGTAACTCTTAGGTTCCATGGCAGAAAATAATTCTGGGGCTTGATTTTGAATTATGCTCCATGAGGTTGATATACAGAAGTAAAATCCTTAGTTGGTAAGTGAGGAGAGCTAGCCATCTTGCATTTACTTCTTAGTGTGACTTGGTTTCTTCTATATAATGTCAGGTACAACATAAACCAAGAAATACTTTTTAAAAAAATTTATTTCAGGCCAGGTGCGGTGGCTCACACCTGTAATCCTAGCTCTCTGGGAGGCCCAGGCAGGTGGATTGCTCGAGGTCAGGAGTTCAAAACCAGCCTGAGCGAGACCCCGTCTCTACTATAAATAGAAATTATTTGGCCAACTAATATATATATAGAAACAATTAGCTGGGCATGGTGGGGTGGCACGTGCCTGTAGTCCCAGCTACTCGGGAGGCTGAGGCAGAAGGATCGCTTGAGCCCAGGAGTTTGAGGTTGCTGTGAGCTAGGCTGACGCCATGGCACTCACTCTACCCTGAGCAACAAAGTGAGACTCTGTCTCAAAAAAAAAAAAAATTTTGTTTCTTAGTGGAAAATGTTAATCAAGAGAGTGAAAACTTTAAAATTTAGTTGAAAACTTTAATAATGGCATGAGGACATACTCGGGGAACACATGATTTCTTTGAGGAAAAAAGAGCTAGGTACGAAGTATGGAAGATTTCTGTGTTTGTGAATTTCAGAATATGCAAAGATTTGAGGACTTATCCTTTATGGCTGCCAAGAAGCTAAAGAAATTAATGGTGTTGATACTAAGCAATTAAACTGAAGGCTTATCTTGAGAAATAAATGTCTGAATTGTTGAAGAAACATATTGTAGTAGGGAGGAAGATTGACGATGCTAGTGAGAGGGGAATACTGGGGAAGGGAAGTCTCAGAAGAGATACAGTGCATAGGTGTGTAGAGATTAGCTTTAAAAAGATAAGAGAAGGCACCGTGGTTCATGCCTATAATCTCAGCTACTAGGGAGGCAGAGCTGGGAAGATCACTTGAGCTCAAGAGTTCAAGACCAGTCTGAGCAACATAGTGAAAAAGCTGTCTCAAAAATTTAAAAAACTAGCCAGGCATGGTGGCCTGCACCTGTAGTCCTAGCTACTTGGGAGGCTGAGGTGGGAGGATTGTTTAAGCTATGATCACACCACTGCACTCCAGCCTGGATGACAGACTGACACCTCATCTCTAAAAAAATAAATAAATAAATAAATAAATAAGGAGGGAACTGTTTATTGTGGAGATGCCAAATGGTTTTCATGTGACAAGAACAATGGATGAAAGAGTTTATGAGCAATAAAATCATTATTTTTCATTGAAGTCACATGCTGTGGAGGGTCGGAGAATGACAGAGGTACTGAGGGTTTGTATAATATTAATAGAAAAGATGACTGCTGAGGGGTTAAGAAAGAACTGAAGGTGCAGCAAATGAAACGACTACAGAACAGCAGTGAAGATTTAAATCCAAGAACCTAGGTCTCTTATGTACATTCAGCTTATTTCTCGTGACTGTGTTAATAGCATTGACTGATTTTTTTTTTTTTTTTTTTTTTTAGCAAAAAAGACCCCAAATCTGTGTATATAACCAAAGCTCCCTGTATTCATCAGCTTTCCAGGTCAAATAATTTTAAATTTCAAATGAGTAAGATTTTCCTGTTGTATAAGTTATTGCTGTACTTACTCTCTGGTCTTCAGGACTCAGCTCGGACATCAGCATTTCTGTATTGTATGTGCTCCATTCCCAGCTCCGGTTGATGAAATACTCTAGCATGGAAGTAGTTCTTAAAAGTCGATTCATGAGCTTTGTCATCCTGAGGTGAAAGATCAGATAGGAGCAAATATCAGCACACCACAGATGGCTGCTTCCCTGTCACTGTCTAAGGATAGATAAGAAATTATTTTTAAGAAAATATAAAAATTATCCCTCTCTCTTTCTCCCAATTCCTCATGAAAATTCTTTTTTTTTCTTCCATATTAACTCTGTCCATTCAGCAGGAAAGGAAAGGGGGTGAATCTAAAGGAGCTTCTACTAGACATTTTAATACCACCAAACTCCTCTTCCTCTTTTCGGATATCTCTTTCTAAACTATAGCAAACCTACTTTAAAACCAAGCTAACTATTCACCCTTAGTAACATATTGTTTATTTTTTGAATTCTGAAGTAGATAACTAGAAAACCTATTTTTCTTCTTTATTATATGTTCTTGGATTTTTTTAAAAAAATTGATGGGACTTGAGGTCTTAGTATATATTAATAATTTCTGGGCAGAAATATTGGCTATATTAGCATCTGGCAAACCAATACCAGTTGTCAATTATAACACAGATTTAAGAGAAAAGAATTTATCGTTAATATCCTAACACACAAACAAGTTCCCATAAATTAACAAGGATGATCCAATAGAAAAATAGGTAAGGAACAGAAGCAGGCAACTAACAGAGGGGAAAACTTGAATGTCCAATAAACAAATGTCTCCAGCAATCAGGGGAATGCAAATTAAAATAACAAAGAGAAAGACGTGTCATTCCTTATCATGAGTTTGACAATTCAAAAAATTAATTTTTGCAAAGTATTGATGAGAGTGAGAAATACATACTGCTCTGTGCCCTCATACACTGTCGTGGCAGTACAAATCGACAAGAGTCTTCCTTTACGGCAACCTGGCAGTAGTCACAAAATCTACATACCCTTTAATCTAGCAGTCTCACTTCTCAGCATCTTCCCCAGACATAGGGGCATGTTCTACAAAGTGGCGTGCACACTGATATTCATTGCCCCGTTGTTTGAAGTAGAAAAAAAAGACAATGCTAGGCAGAATGACTTAGATTTTCATGAAAAATTAGTGAAAAAAGTTTGAAAATTGTATAATTATTTTATGTATACACATACCTACCTTTATGTATAGATACCCCTTTTATGTATTGACCCCTACACCTCAAAGCAAAATTATATTTAAATATATCCACTATGGATATAAAGGCATAGAAGATTACACACAAACACACCTGGAGAAGGATAAACCCTAAATTGGCTAAGTTTTAATCATTTGCACTGCTAATAAGGATGAATATTAAACATGCTGAGACTTCCTCCCTTATAAAGGGACTAGTACGGAAGGCAATACCTTTCATGTTTCTGATTGTTGATCACAGGAATCGCCTTTGGCAATTATAATAGTGATGACTCCCATGACACGTGTATAATTATTCAAGTGAGGGATGTGTCCTATGTCACACAGCTAGATGGTGACAGCCGCCTTAGCATCAGCACACTTTGTTCCTTCTAATTTCTTCACTCATCTCTAGGTGGCAGTAAATCCAATTCAGAATACTGGCTTTGATACTCTTCTTTCCTGTCACTTTGTGACTACTTCAAATTCTTCCCTTAGTTTTTATTTCCTCATTTGTAAAATTGGGATGATAAGGATATCTTCCTTGGGTGGTTGTGAGAATGAAAATGGGATCATCGTGCATTGTCCTTAGTCTAAGAGTGCCACATAGTAAACGCTCAGTGAGGCTGTTATCATTACTGTATATTTTAAGAATATCTAACCATTTGGAAAACCCTAGTGGCCAGAGTCTCAGTTGCTTTTCTTTTTGTGTGGATGATTACTTGTTGAAGTCAACAAGCAAGTTCCTTAACATTTAACTTCCTTTATTATGCAGGAGGATTTTCAACTTAGGAGTCTCTCAGCTTCTCATTACAACTGCTTTGTTTGTCCCTGAATTCATATGGGTTGAGTATCCCCCATCCAAAATGCTTGGGACCAGAAGTGTTTTAGATTTCGAACACTCCTGGATTTGGGAATATTTGTATATACATAATGAGAAATCTTGGGGATGGGATCCAAGTCTAAAGATGAAATTCATTTATGTTTCATATATACCTTATACACATAGCCTGAAGGTAATTTTATATTTTAAACAATTTTGTACATGAAACAAAGTTTTGATGACATTTTGACTGATCTGTCACATGAGGTCTGGTGTGGAATTTTCCACTTGTGGCATCATGTTGGTACTCAAAAAGTTTGGAATTCTGGAGCATTTTGCATTTCAGATTTTTGGATTGGGGATGTTCAGCCTGTATATATGTGTCAGATTCAGTTGTCCCCTTTGATCCTCAGCTGAAAGGAGTGCTATAGACTTTGGGGTTCTGATCGCCCATGCACTGAGACTCTCAAAGCCATTGACTCAGCTTCTCACCTGGGCTTCCTTCCAGTGAGCCGCAGATAGAAGTCATAGATGATGGCAGGGGCACGGTGGCTGACTGCATTCCAGTACTGGTTCATGAAGTTGTTGGATGTGAAGTCAGCATTTGGCCTCCTGAAAGCCCTCTCAAATGGGATTTTTTCAAAGGTTGCCAAGACTTGGAATCCTGGGGAAAAAAAAAAAGAGTAAGTGCTAAGTCTATGAGAACATAAGCCCATCATAGTGGAAGGCGTTTGCAATGGATAAAAATAATAAAGACTAAGATTTTGCTATATGGAGTCAAGAATCAATTCTGAGAACCAAGTAAAGATTTTTATGCTGGGCAAGTGGTCATCTGCAAAATCAAAACATGTGAATGGGTTAAGATTTGGGTCCTTTTCTTGAAACATTTACTGTAAAACAAGTTGTTGGGGAAATAGATTAGTCAATACAAATACTATTCAGAAAAATGTAAATCCATAATTTAATTCCAAGGTTATCTAGTCTATTTTGAAAGCCCTAAGACAGGTGAGGAGCCTTATTTCCTTGGTTGAATCATTACTTGCAGAACCATTAAATAAGTTTCTTAACATTTTACTTAAGTCTTTATTAAAGGTTTAAGTAAAAGATTATAAAAGGCAGATTCCCTTGTGTTAACTAACTCACTTTAAATACCACAGTCTTTTACTACTTTGGTGTTTTTACTTCTCTGGGAGTATGTCAGACTCAATTGTCTGATCTGGTCTCCAGGGATTTTTCATAATAATATTTTTCTTTTTATAAATTATTTAGATTAACCTTAGTAAAAACTTTTTGTGTACATTTGTGAATTCAATAGTTCTTTTCAAAAGATACTCATTTGAATTCAATTTTGATTTAATCTATGTAGGTTTTTTTCCCAAAGAATATGCCTCAGCTCATTATTCAATTATGATAAAGATATCAGTTATTATGGTAACATTATTATTGTCCTCCCTAAAAAGATACCACCTAGAAATCTATATGAACAATATAGACCCTATACAGACAAGATTGTCAGGAAACATCCGGTCCATAGGTATATATGCTTGAAAAAGGAAGTCAATCAAAAAGTTATGCACAGTATATAGCATAAAAGATCCAGTATTGACATTGACCTTCTGATCTATATAGTCATGCCTGTTCAACATTTTCCACTTGGATGTGTAATAAACATTCATATTTAACAGCTCTAACATTGACCTCTTAATACTCTCACTACAAACCACCCCTTGCTCATTATATACACAAAACTTGCTTCTCCACAATTCTCCACCACTTCTAACTAAATGGTAATTCAGTATTTTTAGTAGTTCAGCCAAAAACTTTGGGGTCATCTTTTATTCTTCTCTTTAATGACCCCAAATTTGTCAGCTCTCTATTTGAAAACTATCCATTATTAAAATTTCTATTGCTATCTCTCTAATCCAAACCACCACTCTAGCTTGGAATATTACAGTAGTGTCCTAAGTGGGCTCTGCCACTGCTCCGACCCACTACAGTCTGCTCTCCAGAGTGATTCTTTTAAAACATAACTCTGAGTGTGTTATAGTTACTTCTCCATTCAGAACCCGTCAGTGGAATCTCATTTAGAGGGAAAGCCAAACTCTCACCCATGGTCTGTAAGGCCTTATCTACATCCTTACTCCCTATGCTCATCACTCTGCCTTTTATCTCCTGCCATTCTCCCTCTCAATGCCTCTCGGTCATAGCCATACTGGCCTCCTTCCTGTCCTTGAATACGAAAGAAGAGCTTTAGCACTAACTTCACGTATCCCTCTGCTTTGCCCCCTCATTCTTTCAGGTCTCTGCTAAGATCGTCCCTTATCAGAGAGGCTTTCCTTGGCCACCACACGTAAAATAGTAGCCTTCCCATTTTACTCTTCCCCTCTTTAGTCTGCTTCGTTTTTCTTCAAGCACTTAACTGTATCTTGTGTACATGCCTCCCTACTAGGATGTAAGTGTCATGAGAACAAAGTTTTGTCCATTTTGTTCATACCCATAAAGCACCTTGAAAAGTGGTTGGCAGGTAACTAGTGCCCAACAAATATTTTTTGACTAAATGACTGAATGAATGTCTCAGCAACATACAATTACTTTCCATTTCCTAAATCTATCTCAACTCTTCCTTTAGTCATTCCAAAAATATTTATTTGGCATTTTAATACTTGCCAGACACTGTGCTAAGTGCTAGGGTTAAAAAATATATCTGACCTGTTCCCTGTCCTTAAGGAATTGGCAATCTGGTGGGAGGTGTGGATGATTAGTGATTACAATATTTTCCCTGAGTATTCTGCTACAATATGTTCTGGAGGAACATATTATATTGTACAATATGTATGGAGTACAATATGTTCTGGAGGAATTACAAAAGCAGCATCTAACTCTGGGTGCCAGGGTTGGTAGGGGTTGAGGGTAAGTTAGGAAAGGCTTTTGAGAAAGCTGTCTAAATGGCAGTAACCAACATTCACTGATATATTTACTGTTCTAGTCACTTTATCTCATTAAATCCTCCCAAGAGCTCTCTGAAGTAGAATAATTATTATTCTCATTTGACAGGTGAGAAAGTTGATTTATAGGGAGAAATAATGATTTTCCTAAGTTCATACAAGTGGTAAGTAGTGGAGTCTAGTAAGTTGTGGGACCTACACCAGCATATAACCTCTATATGGGCATGGATTTCTGTTTAGTGTTAAATCCTCAGCACAAAGAGTAACGCTTACTCCATGAATACAGAATGAATCAATGAGCAATGATTCAAACCTAAGTCTATTAGACTTTAGAGCCTAAAACTCTTAGCCATTAAGCTACTACTGTCTTTCTGACCTGAAGGACAAGTAGGATCTCATGCAAACATAGAGAATTTAATGTGACAATTATAAACTATACTTCTACATATTCACAGGTCAAAGAAGAAAGTAAAATGAAAAATTTTAAATGCTTAGAAAGTAATAACACGAATACATAGCAAAATGTGTGGGATACAGCAAAAGTTGCATTTGAGGGATATATAAAGCCTTAAATGCTTATAAGAAAAAACCTGAATATTCATGAGCTATATTTCTAAGTTAAAGGAAAAGAAGAATCAATTCAAAGATAACAGGGAAAAGGGTATAATAGAAGACAAGAAATCAGTGCAATAGAAAACAAAGCAGCAAAGAATCAATAAAGCCAGAAGTTGGTACTTTAGAAAAAAATAAACCCCTTTGGAAGAATAATTGAGAAAAAAGAGAAGATACACTCACAATTATTATGAATTAAAAAGAGAAACATTAACTATGGATATAGCTTATGGCAAAGGAACAAGATAATATCAAAAATGTTATGTAAATACATTTAAAAACTTAAATTCTTAGAAAAGAGACAAATATAATTTACTAAAACTGTTTCAAGCAAAAACTGAAAGTCTGAAAAATCCTTTAACTAGTGAAGAAGTTGAAGCAGTAAAAATCTTCCCACAACAAACCATGAATCCAGATAATTTACAGGTAGTTTTACCAAATTTTCAAGGAATAGATTATTCCAATCTTACACAAACACTTGTAGAAAATAGAAAAAACAAAGGAAATATACTTCAACTCATTCTATGAAGCTGATACACCAAAACCAAAATTAGACAAGGTCTGTATGAAAAAAAAAGGTAGAACCTTATTTGATTGAAGAATAGCTGTAAAAAATCCTAAACAAATTACCAGCAAACTGAAGCTGGGTTTATCCTAGGAATGGCAGTATAGTTTAATATTTGAAGCCTTTTGTTAGGAACAAGACAATGACATACACTATTGCCATTTCTATTCATCATTATGTTAGAAGTTCAACAAGAAACATAAAGACCTAAGGTTTAGAAAAATAATACTGGAATTTTTGCAGACTATGTGTCTACATAGAAAACTGAAAGGAAATGCTATACATTCACTAGCAACAATAGCTTATAGCAAGATGGCTAGCTATGAGGTCAATGTACAAAAGTCAACTGCATTTCTATATACCACCCACAAATGATTAGAAAACATATTTTTACAAAAGACATTTAAATTAGCAAATAAAGTATAAATTATCTAGGCCCTAGGTATAAATCTGATAAAAGGTATTAAAGACCTCCATGCAGAAGATTAAAATTTTTCTTAAAGAACACTAACAGAAACAACTAAATGGAAAGAAAGCCCATGTTCACCCACCCAGCTGTCAATCCCTTTCTGTAATATCACCTGAGGCTATGGATATTAAACCTATTATCACATGGCTAGTGTTCCTAATATGAAACATTTTGTTCCCTCCTAATTGTCCTGATAGAAAACACAAGTGAATTTCAATTTGAATGCAAAATCAAATTAGTTGGTAAGAGCTTCCAGAAATGCTGGATTAGAAAGGATTCTTGACTGGGGGGGGGGGGGGTGGGAGATACTGTGATCAGCTGACAACATCTGCTATGTGTGGGAGGAGAGTAGAGAAAACATGCATGCCGGGTATTTGTCATTCTTGGAAAGGCATTCTTCAAGTCAGTCTATTCATAAAACAAGCCACAGTGTCTAGCTGCCCTGTAACAGAATTCTCAGTTTGGTACCATGGCTTATCATTGGAGTATGTAGGGTAGTGTTACCCCATGTAACAGGGAAAGGAGAGGTATGTTAGTGGATACTAAGGAATCCTACAGGATAGTTAAACTGCCTACTTTTAACCTTTGCCATCATTAGATGTTTAAGTCGTACATAGATTATAGACATTGAACAGATTCAGTCCCTTACACGTAGTCAAATCAATACTTTGCATAGTTCAGGGTTTCTCAGAGTGGGTTTCACCTGCACCAAGAATCATCTGGCTGCTTATTGAAAATACAGCTTCCTCAGCACCGTCCAAGACCTTGGTCCTAAGGTCCAAGGAATCTGGATTTTTCTTCTCCCACAGCGACTCATTCACTTTTACAAATCACTAGTGGAGTGATTATTGTGCACTCATGAGCGGCAGGCTGCATACATTAATGAGTTGAGTTACTGATTTAGTAACAAAGATACATTATTTGGCTTTTCTAAATCTCCTTGGTCATTGATCATGTCACTTTTTCAGTGATATATCAAGCAAAGAAGGGATGTGTGTGTGCTGGCCATTGCCCCAAGGGGAAGGAATATTTTATCACCAAGATTGTTTATAACTGCCAACTTTTGCTTGGTTTTATCATTGTTTTTAAAAATCTCTATAGCCAGTGGATTCCTTATTACAATCATGCATAATGTTCCCTCTGACTCCTTTATTTGGTATACCACAGTACATTCTAGTTAACGATTACACATTTACAATTGCTAATTATTTTTTTCTCTTTACTTACTTTTTGTTTTCCTTTCCCACTATGCTGGAAGCTTCACAACACACTGTTTCTATTTGTCTCCCCTGTGGCAGACACTAGTGGTTATGTGGTTACATTGCTACAGGTGCTTACCCATTTTGCCCCAGTTACAGGGATTGAGGTTACCAGATGTACAATGGTAGACTAACGTTGACTTAGGTCTGGAAAATGAAATAAAAATTAGGTAAATACAACAAAATGGAGAACTAATGAAAGAAAGATAAGGGGAAAATAACATTTTGATAATTCTCATGACTAAGGCAGCCTTTGCAACACTTCCTTTTATCTTTTTGTATCTTCTTTGGGTTAATAAGTAAAACAGAAGAAGCGAAGGAAAAGTATGGGTGTGTGTGTGTGTGTGTGTGTGTGTGTGTGTGTGGGTGGGTGTGTGTGTGTAAAAGATGTCCAAGAGGTGTGACATATTTATGGCACACACATCTGAGTTCACATAAAAAAATTTAATTCTGTTTACCATTTACTAACAAGTGTACAACAATATATATTTGAACTGAATGTACAAACCACCTTTTGTGTGTGTGCGCACACTAGGAAATTTTCCCACACATGGTGATCTGAACCTTTGGCATTTACCAGGAACTGAGCAGTTCAAGAAAATATAAAATATGTACTCAACTTCATCAAATTCTATGTCTTTTGCCTTAAAAAAGGAAACCGTATTTTAGATTACTGAATAGAAAGAAAAGCCTTTTGGTTATATCAAGAGTCTTCTGGTTAATTGATTTAAAGGGTTTATTGCATCATGATCGACCAAGTACTAAGCAGTATTTATAAATAAACAACTCAAGGCCTATATAGATGGCATATTAGGAGCTATATAAAAAATTTAAATGCCTTCTCACATTGGAGGTCTGGTATGATGAAGTGCCTATTATTTTGAAAATGTGCCTAACATATTCGCCCTCCCCCTCCATCGAGTCTTTGAAGGCCCACGTCAGCATTCACACCTGTGAACTGCAGTGTACCATCCTACTGCTAGCGTGAGATTGACGACCGTATCAACTGGAATTAAATCTGCCACAGCCATCGGAGTAGCTTTTATGGCCCGAAGAAACCCTTTCCCAGCCTGTATAGGAAAAATAACATAAAATATTAAACCAGGTCTTAAGTAACAGCTGGGGCTCAAGTATATATCAAACAGACAATACTAGTGCTGTTAGTGAAAATAGCTACCGTTGATTCACTGCTTACTAGGTTATTGTGCCGAGTCTGATTTCTGTCAGCCCAGCCAAGCTTCCCAGCCAAGTGTATCTCAAGAGCTACTATTTCCATCAACCACTAGTAGTTCTCAGGTTCCTTTAGGAAATAAAATTCCTCAAGTTTGTGAGAGGTTAATATACAGAGTTAATTAACAAGTTTTCACATCTTAAAAATTAATTCATAAGACATTTTAATGATTAAGGTTTCCCAAATCTCCCCATTATTATTTGTTTACCATTTTCTTCAATGATTTTGTTTTCTGTTAGTGCTTACCCACAAGCAACAGCAGGCACTGAAAGTTTAAAAACATTTATTTGGAAAAAATTAATTGATGACATCATACCATTTAACAAAGCAAAAATGTTGGGGGGGGTGTGCTTGGGAAAAGGCCATCATTCTTTACTTTATTCCTCAGTATATCTCAGTTCACCTCACAGATCACTGATGTTATATAGGTATAAAAATTTTGAATTATTTGTGCTAATAATTTGTTGACTTTATGAATTAAGCTGATTCTTTATACTTTGCATGTTTCCAACATCGACTTGCAATGATTAGCACTTTCGTATGTTTCTGGGATCATTTTAAAATAATGATGTTCTAAGTCACCAAACATTGAACCCAAATAAATTTCAAAAGAGAAAGAGGAGAAGGTAGGTAGGGAAGAGAAAGAGGAGGGGCGGCTAGAAAAATCAGAAGGAAGGTTGTCACTGAATTTGATAAGTCATAATTCACTGTCTCATGTTCCTATTTTGGTTCATATTGAACCAGTTCTGGGAAGAACAGAGGCAGAGTCTGAAGCACTGTCTGAGTCTCTAATTAAAGATTTACACTCATTTAGATAACTGAATTCCTAGTCATTGTCCTAAAGAATAAAGTGGTGGTTCTGGTCCTAAAATGCTTCAGTCTGAGCTGAAAGCACCACGGCTCAGCTGTGTCGATCTGAACTGCAGGAAGGTGTGCACCAGGGCTGCTAACCCAGAGAGCCACGTCTCTCCTTGCCTGTGAGAAGATGATTGTTGAAAAGGTATTTCTTGTATTCACCAAGTTTTATGCTTGAAAAATTTGCTCCAATTGGTAATTCTCTTTCTTGTATCTATTAAGAATTAGTAATGTATATCTCCTTTTCATACACACATGCAAACTCATATATGTGTTTTATAATCGATAATTTAATCTACAAGGATATGATTTTTACTGCGTTTTTAGTGAATTTGCTGCACCAATTCATGCTATTAATAAATATTAATAGCAAAAAGGGAAGAAATAGCTCCATCTTGTGGTAACTAAAGGAAAATCCTTGAACATCAAGGATTTTCCAAAATGAAACATCTTGATGATATCACATTACCTGTTTTCCTGGTAATAAAATTCTCAAAGAATAGCAGCAATTTCAGCCTGCCTCTATCTCTAAAGGAAATCAGCATAATTGAGATAAGTTGCTACAATTTTTGTTAGTAAAGTGCCATTTATGTTTTTGGATCAATGAAACTATGCAACACTAAGAATTTTGTTACTAATTTCAAGGAGTTATTTCCTCTTCATCATACATACCGCAATAATGAGCCCACTAGGTCCATTTAGATTATCAACCCAACCCTAAAAAAGAGAAGATTTCTTCTGGTTACACATTTCATAAAGTTGTCATATCTTTGAAATACCTGCAATTTAATCTTAATAAATTTTAAACAGAGCCCTGAGACCCCCAACAAATAGAACTATATAACCTAGTATATTTCTAAGATCCCAAACAAAGATCAATGCCAAAGCACAGGCTGTTTTCTGCACTTGATTTGACTGTGCAGGAATTAAAATTTTGCCAGCATTGCTTTTCACAGCAGGAGTCATGGATGGTTTCCTGTTGTTTTATGACATCTTATGAGTTAATTTGGATCTTGTCTTAATATCAGGATCTGCTAAGCAATTAAAAAACCATAATTCTTCTCCACCTCAGTGTTGATTGTAAGCTCCTTAAGGGAACATTTCAAGCATGATTTGTAGAAATTATCCATTTCTTGAAACATTTCTTGTTAACATTTCTTGTTAATCCATTTCTTAACACCTGTAGAGTCCATACCAGATATATGTTCGTACATGTGTGTGTTAGCTTGCTTAAAGATGTTATAGGAAAGATTATGGTTAGGAGCAGTAAGAGGGAATCGTCATGAGTTTGTTTCCTAAGCCCTAAGCAAATCAGATGACCTTGCTATGTCTGTTTCTTTATCTTACAGTGTAAAAGTCAAAATGTGTGTGTATACTGGGAGAGGAGAGAGAAAAGAGGAGAGGATAAAGGGACTAGTACTTATTCAACCTTTTACTAGGGACCAGCCTTTTACTAGGGATTAAGCACTCCTCATATATTATCTTATCCACTCTCCAAAGGAAATAGTGTTAGTCTAAGTTTTACAGAAGAGAAAACTTAAAAGATTGCATTGCCAGTAAGTAGTGGAACTCAAATTTATCTGGCCCCCAAAGCTTCACAGAGTTTCTCTGAAAATGATGGTATAATTCAAAGTACTTTCAAAAGGATATGAGAGTATACAGAGGTAAAAAAAATTAGTATTCCTAAACTGAGAACCCTCAGTGAGCTTGTGACTTTTACTCACCCTGGCAGTTGGAAGACTACCAATTTGGCCATCAAGAATGAAACTATCACCCATGGAAATTTTGAGACTAGAGTGAATTTAGAAGCTAATTTAAGATCTCTACCCAACTCCAGGACAGAAGTAACTCCCAGAAGAGCTTCATATGGGTAAATCCTGAACCCGACATGGAACTTTGCCCTAATATAATGAGTTCATGTTTGATTTGCTGAACTCAGCTATAAATCCTGAGATGAAAAAGGAAAACAAACAAACAAACAAAAAAACCCAGACACTAGTCAGAAAGTAATTGGGTTAGAAGAACCCTGGTTTGAAAGCAAAGCAAGGAATCCAGGTGAGTAGGCTTACTGGAAAAGGCTCCTGCCAAGTTGCTCCCACAATGGACGGCCTTACGATGGCAATGTTCAGGTTCCCGCTCTCTTGCTGCACCACCATCTCTCCCAAGGCCTTGGTGTAGGTGTAGGTATTGGGCTGATCTCCTATCAGCTTGGGGGTGATCTCATCAATAATAGAGTCGTCTAACCACCTGCAGGCAGTCAGAGTAAAAAGACTTCTAGCAACATACATTAAACAATAGACCAAAAAGAAAAGGCGAGGCACACAATCAAATACAACTTCTACCTTCTGGATTGAGTTCCAGAATTCAGAACAGTCACAGGATACCGTGGTTGAGTGTGTACCTGATCAAGTCATGCATGATGGATGAGCTGTTTGCTCTCCACTGCTAAGCCAAATCTTATCAGTCCAATCCTATGTCCTCTCACCCAGATAGATAGAAAGAGATTAATAGACACGATCTACTACTTTATTACTACTACTATATAATACAGTTTTTTTGGGGGAAATTAACATGCCTGAATACATCAGTGTGATTTTGATAATGTGTTTGATACATTTATTCCTATTTTATAAGACAGACATGCCCATACTATTTTGATTTTTGATTATAGAAAACCTTAACTGTTACCACTTTGCTGACATGACACATTGTTGAGCATTAAGATATGCTTGATGTTAAGACGTATTCAGAATTACAACGCCCAATTGTAATAAATCATTTGATACTGAGGAGGAACATGAGCACTGTCTATAATGTTTTTATTTTTCTTACTTTGGTTCTACTAGTGCTGAGTCTGGATAGTTAAGTGCCTTTTGATTTAAATTGAATCAGGAAAGTTTAAGATGTTCCTAGAATTAAAAGCAACTCAACTATGTAGAGAAGTAGAGACTATTTCAATTTTATGGCCGCCTAGGGGCTGGGAGAAAGTGTGGAATAATGCAGGTTCCTCTCCATCTTTATGCTACTACTACTGCCACCTCATCTCATTTATGGGCCAACAGTGGATCTAGGAACTGACACAGAAAGTGAGGGAGCAGGAGAAGGAGGAAGCGTGGATTACTGGAATACAAATGCTCCCCATCTCGGTGGAAGTCGCTCAATGAGAAAGCTCTTTAAGGCACCAGTCTCCAGACTTGCCTGCTCATAAATAAGAATTACACGGGACGCCTGTTAGAAATCCAGATTCCCGGGTGCCATTTTAGAACCACTAAATCAACCTGCAGGAGTGATAGTCTGATTGCTGGTATTTTTAGCGAGCCTTGGTGACTATTATAGTCAGGCAAATTAGGGAATCACTAATTTAAAAGAAGTCCACTTCACAAACTTCAGTCCTTAAGATTTGAATGCGTTGGCGTTAGCTCGCAAGAAATACATGGCATAAAAATTTCAGTAAGAATTGGAGTAAGAATTTCAATAGAATTGAACTTTAAAAGAAAGAAATCCTTGGTGCTAGAAATGTAAGGCATGACAATTATGCATATTCAAATCTGACAGCTAATTAGATACATGCAACTCCATATGCAAAGCAGTAGCCATGTCCTATTGGTTTTTCTTCCCCAAAATACATAAGCATTTTTTGTAATTGGTGTCAGGCCCTTGTTCCAGTCCTTCACACCACTTCTCCATCCCTGGTGATGGGTCGCTCTGCCCCTGGCTACTCCCCAACCCAAGCTAATCCACTGCGTCCCTCCAACCCCTATGACCATAGTAATATTCCTAAAGCCCACTTTCATCAACGTCTTTCTGTGGTTAAAACAAATGAGCACTCCTCCCTCCCTTACACACAACCCTCTGCATGGTATTTGAAACCCCCACAGTATGGGCCAGCCTACCTTTCCAGCGTGATCTCTACCTGCTTCCCTGTACATAACACGTGTGCTGCCCAAATGGAGTCGTGGCTGTTTGCTAAGATGCCCCGGGCTTCCCTGCTCCAGTTGCTCTGCCTGGTAGGTGCTCTGTCTCACCTGTCCAAACTGCCCACTCTTCCAAGTCTATCTCATACGCCTGTCTTCCAAGAGTCCCCCCCCCCCACCTCCTCCACAGCACTAGACTTAATAGGTCCTACATGTATAATTTCCCCCTGTTCTATTCGTGTTGGATGTGAGCTCCTTGAGAGCACAGTCTATACTTTTTTTTTTTTTTTGAGACAGAGTCTCACTCTGTTGCCCTGGCTAGAGTGCTGTGGCATCAGCCTGGCTCACAGCAACCTCAAACTCCTGGGTTCAAGCAATCCTTCTGCCTCAGCCTCCTGAGTAGCTGGGACTACAGGCATGCACCACCATGCCCGGCTAATTTTTTTCCTATATATTTTTAGTTGGCCAATTAATTTCTTTCTATTTTTAGTACAGACCCCTCTTGCTCAGGCTGGTTTTGAACTCCTGACCTTGAGCAATCCTCCCGCCTTGGCCTCTCAGAGTGCTAGGATTACAGGTGTGAGCCACTGCGCCCGGCCGAGAGCATAGTCTGTACTTTAAGAAAGCACATTTTAATCATTAACACTGCCAAGTATGTGGGTAACCTGGAAAGACCATGGGCTTCCGCATCAAATGGCCATGAATAAAAACGGTCTCTGTGCCTTACCAGCTGAGAGACTTTCAAAGAATTACTTAGCCTTTCTGAGCTTTTTGCGCCTTTGCTAGCATAGCAGTGATAATAGCAACCCTATAAGATTATGTTAAGGAATTAGATGTCTGTAAAAGTGTCTTGCTCACAGTAATTGCTCAGTAATAATTCATTTCTGCACTTCCCTTCTTCATGCATATTTACCAGGTTTATTTACATATGTTTAATAAAGCAATAAATATTTATGGCTCCATTTTTCTAGCTCCTAACTCTATAGTTATTTCAGGTTTTTATACAGGTGCAAAAGCTCTTTTCTTTTCCACTGGTTTCCCTAAAAGGAGTTACCGTGGCCTGAAAAATCAGACAAGCAACAACCAAAGACCTGTCTTTCCTGGTCCATTATGTACATTTTAAAAAATAAACATCCTACTTAAACTGTTACTCTGGAAAACTGGAATTTCACTGGCAATCCCCGATGCATTTACATACATACACTTCTAAAGGTAAATATCACCAAATGGGTAGTAACAGATGAGTCAGAATGGTGACACAGTTGGATGAGGACAGAAGACAACTGCAGGGACAAAAGCCAAAGAAGGCTTAACACTGATTAATGGCCATGCTTCTTATTACTAAAATGTGTTTATGCTAACATGCTAAAGTTTTTGTACTAACAAAATCAAATTTCATCTTTTTGGAATAGTTCAGGACCAAGGTAATTCTGGCAGTTTTCAGTTAGGGGCTGAAAGAAGGGAATGGAGGGCTGACAATCTTAGGCTGTGGGATGGACAGAAAATGGGGGGGCCAAGCAAGGGGAGAACCTGAGGCCTGCAAAGGATGGGGCTGGGATGGCTGGGGTGGGATTTAAGTTCATGATTCCGTTGCCTTTATTAACAACACTGAGCAGTAACGCTATAGCCCAAGCAATGGGGAAACTTCCTGTCCAAAAATGCAAATCCTCCTTTATTTCCTAGAACTGGTATTCCCATTCAACTGATTTTCTGGAAAAAAGAAAGGTTCATTTTATATATTCACGAGTGATTTTCTTGAGATCACAAAGCCCAGAGCACAGCTTCAAGATCATTTTGTCTAACTTCTGTTTCCTTTTTAAAAAATGAGAATGACTGGAATACTAATAGGAATGGCAGCTGCTAGGCCCTATGAATTTACTGTTAAAAAAAAAAAAATTCCAGAGGAAATAGGAACCTAAAGACTTTGGAAAATAATTTTATTTTAACCACAAACCAATTAATAGAGAAGAAATCAGAGAAAAAATATTTTCTTAAAAGCAACTAAACCTGTCTTTAGATGAATTAATATTTATCAGAATAACTTTAATGCTATTTGTTATCCTAAAACTTCAGAAAATTCCATCTGATATAGGAGTTATTGAAACAGTCATAAATGATGGAATAGTTGGTGAGGGGTTGCTAGGCTTATTCAAAGTGTTATTCAAAACTTAACATACAGGTTTCATTTGAAGTTTAAGAAGAAAAAAATGGGCAATCAGAAAGAGGGGTAGGATATGAAGATATAGATATTTTACACATAAAACCTCTGCATCCCCAAATATCAGCCTGTTTGGAATTCTGTCATCTATTCTTGCTTCTGTCAAAACAAACAAGATCCCAGCCAGAACAGCATGAACAATGATCATCTAGTGCCATCAAAAACTTTTTATTCATTCAGCAAATATTTGAATTTCTACTACGTGTTGGCACTGAGGATGCAAAAAGGAGGAAGAAATATTCTCTTCCTTTGAGAAGCCCATTGTCTATTGGAGAATATAATAGATAAGCAACCAGATATTAGAACCTGTTAAGAGCAAGGGCTCGACGTAACCATTATATAAGGTATCCATGCAACAAAAACATCTGTACCTCCTTAACACATTGACTACCACACTGGAACAAAATTTTTTTTCCCTGGGGCCATAGTGTTTTATTATGAAAATAGAATAAAAACTTTGGAAACAAAATGATCCTTCCTAATTTAATGAAAAATTCGTTATTTTTCATTGTTCTCTCTGCATAAGTTATATGCAACTCACACGGCACTAGAATCAATGTTTACACTGCACGCCACTTGAGTTGTATGTGACTCATGACGTACTTACTGAATTTGTTTCAGAGAATTGAGTCTTCATATGCTTCATGAGGCCCTGGGCTCAAAACTAGCATGAGTTAACTACAACTCACATGGCAGTTAATGTATTAATATTTTGAAATTAAAAAAATAATAATTTTTTTTTGCCCAGTGTAATATGCATTTTAATTGAATACATAAACCTCGGAAAGATCAGTGGGTGACTGCTCGCATCAGAGAATGATCATGTATGGGAGATAAACGGTCTCGTGCCTATAAACTCATGTGGTGAAATATAACTGTAGAGACTTATCAAAGATTTGACTTCACCTAATACTAATTGATCTGTTGCCTTTGCTCTGGTCCAGACACTACTTTATTCTAGTTATATGTGAGACGAGCTATTGTATAGCGATTATGACCATTAAAGCAACAATACTAAAATGGTTTAAGTGTAATTTAGGAGATGCTGATAGAAGATTTAGGGGCTGTCTACTCACAGTGCAATTGCTCAGTCCTAGCAGAATTGCGAGTGTTTCATGAGCACCTGGTTTCTCTTAATCTGCTGCACAGTCAAGTTTTTATCCCTGCTGTTATAACGTTACATATGTTTAATAAAGCAATAAATATTTATGGCTCCATTTTCTAGCTCCTAACTCTATAGTTATTTCAGTTTTTTATAGAGTGTGCAAAAGCTCTTTCTTTTTCCACTGTTCCCTAGAAAGTCATCAGATGTTGAGCGGCAAGCCAGGCGGCCTGAAATGAGATAACAATCAGCGACAACTGCAACACACTGTAGATAGACCTATTCATCTGTAAATGCTGCGCATTATCGATTCTATATAGTTATTAAAATAATAGAAATGGCGCCAGCTCATAATTTATATACTTGAGCTTACATTACTGGAGATAAAATCTGGATATTCATCTCTTTTTGCCATATCTTTCTCCCGATTCTCTTTTACTACCTACTTCCTTTACTCACTCTCTTACTACGTTACACATTACCTCACCAAACCTAACAGATGAGCAGAATGGTGAACATCTCTCTCACTGGGATCCAGCAGATGACACACGCCACGACAAAATAGCAAAGAAGCTTTAACACTGATTACATGCCATGGCTTCTTATTACAAAATGTGTTATGCTAACATGCTAAAGTTTTCTGTAACTAATCACCAATCAAATCCTCTCCTTGCCGCATACACTCTCACACTCTCACAGCAATTCCTCACTCTCTCCTTTCCAGTTAGGGTGCTGTATATATATAGTCAATCTGGCGAATGGTCCAACCCTTTATACTGCTTGCTTTTGTGATTGAGCATCCAGAGGAACAGTTGTGGCTCAATAGCAAAGGGAGAAACGCCGCAGTGACCGGTTCAAATGCAAGAGAATTGCGAGGCTGGGATGGGCTCGGGGTGTGTGCGGGAGCGTGGTATTTTAAAGTTCATGATCCGTTGCCTTATTAACGAACCACTGACAATAATACGGCTATATCGTCTCAACCAACTCTGAGTGTCAATGCCTCTGTCTAAGTTCTAATGATATGCTAAATCCCTTCTCTGTCCTCATGTCCTGAGATACTATTGTTTAGTTATACCCCATTCACAGTGATTTTCTGAAATAAATCATATTAGTGCTCTTTTCCTATCTTTCATACCTGAGCACTTTTTTTTCTACTTTGATCACTTTCTTTTCCCTGAGAGCACACAAGACGCTCAGTCCACTCAGCTCACTTACCACATCCAGTGCTTGTGGTGCAGTGAACTCTCTTTTCCTCTATAAAAAAAACGATGATCCGTACTACCATACTAATACCAATTACGTGACACACAACTTCATATTGTAATTATTTTTTGATCGTAGATGGGTAAATACATACACAATAAAAATTCCAGGAAATAGGACCTAAAGACTTGGAAAATAATTTTATTTAACACAAACCAATTAATAGAGAAAAATCAGAGAAAAATATTTTCTTAAAAGCAACTAAACCTGTATTTAGATGAATTAATATTTATCAGAATAACTTTAATGCTATGGGTTACCGTAAAACTTCAGAAAATTCCATCTGATATAGGAGTTATTGAAACAGTCATAAATGATGGAATAGTTGGTGAGGGGTTGCTAGGCTTATTCAAAGTGTTATTCAAAACTTAACATACAGGTTTCATTTGAAGTTTAAGAAGAAAAAAATGGGCAATCAGAAAGAGGGGTAGGATGTGGAGATATAGATATTTTACACATAAAACCTCTGCATCCCAAAATATCAGCCTGTTTGGAATTCTGTCATCTATTCTTGCTTCTGTCAAAACAAACAAGATCCCAGCCAGAACAGCATGAACAGTGATCATCTAGTGCCATCAAAAACTTTTTATTCATTCAGCAAATATTTGAATTTCTACTACGTGTTGGCACTGAGGATGCAAAAAGGAGGAAGAAATATTCTCTTCCTTTGAGAAGCCCATTGTCTATTGGAGAATATAATAGATAAGCAACCAGATATTAGAACCTGTTAAGAGTAAGGGCTCGACGTAACCATTATATAAGGTATCCATGCAACAAAAACATCTGTACCTCCTTAACACATTGACTACCACACTGGAACAAAATTTTTTTTCCCTGGGGCCATAGTGTTTTATTATGAAAATAGAATAAAAACTTTGGAAACAAAATGATCCTTCCTAATTTAATGAAAAATTCGTTATTTTTCATTGTTCTCTCTGCATGAGTTATATGCAACTCACACAGCACTAGAATCAATGTTTACACTGCACGCCACTTGAGTTGTATGTGACTCATGACGTACTTACTGAATTTGTTTCAGAGAATTGAGTCTTCATATGCTTCATGAGGCCCTGGGCTCAAAACTAGCATGAGTTAACTACAACTCACATGGCAGTTAATGTATTAATATTTTGAAATTAAAAAAATAATAATTTTTTTTTGCCCAGTGTAATATGCATTTTAATTGAATACATAAAGAGCTAAATCTGGGTTTTGTATTATACATCTTTCAATTTTAGTGTACGATGTTGTAAATATCTGAAAAAAATGTAAAAAATAAAGATATATTGGACCTGAACAACAAAAAAATGAGCATTGGGTGCCATGGGAGAATTGGGGAAGGCTGCCTACGCTGGAGGGCTTCAGGGGAGAGCTTTGCTTTCTGAGTAAGAATTCCCAGGTAAAGCAGAAGTGGAAACAGGCTCAGGAACAGAGCCAGCATAAGCAAAGCCAGAGAACGAGGGAGAAGAGGAATTACTTCGCTGTGACTTTTTTCCTGTTTGGAAAAAAAAAAAATCCCTTAATTCCTTAACTGCATTCAAAATGTATTCTGGTGAGATAAAATCAATTTTATTCCTAGTGCTGCAGGCTGCATATTTGCTTAAATAACTGTCATCCTTGGAGAGCAGTAAATGACAGATGGACATAACAACTTTTGTACAACTGTCATTTGCAGTTTGATCATAAATCATGCAGCAATTACCTGCCTTTTCTGGTTGGCACACACTGAGGGACAATGGGAAAGTGCTGCACACCTAAAGATAAATCAACTCTTCCTCTGGGAGGTGAGTTTATTCTTCTTCGAAACCTGGAGGTATTTAGTGTCTGGACACAGTTTGGGAGGGAGAAAGTGGGAAGGAGGACCTAGAGAAGCCCTTCACCTTGGGTGAACTCATTGTTAATAGCCTACCTCTTCTCTCTGGTGAACTCTCAGAGATTCCTTTGCTGTCTCAAACTGTGCTGTGATCTGTCAGGTGTTAGAGGAACCAGCAGTCGAGTGAGTCCCAGGAAACTCAGTCTGGAATCAAAAGGGCCCTGCCCCTTCCCTGGGCATATCAAATATTTAAGCATCACATCTCCCAAGAGGCAACAGCAGAAGAGGGCAACTAATCGACAAACAAATCAATTTCATCCTGAAAATGCTCTGAGGCTTTATATATATAACTTCCTGCATAGACTTTGGGCATCAGAGTATACCTGCCTTTTCTCCAACTATCCTGACAAACTTAGGACTCCAAAACGTTTCTTTGCGCGTCATTTAAGCGTCATTTATTACCAACTTTAAGCAACCTCTAGAAGTCCTTTAGTTGACTTTCATCCTTCTTTGTCCTGGATGTTTTTAAATGATAGACAAAAATATCTATTCTCAGAGCTGGAGGAGATAAAAATGTTTGCCCTTAAGGGAATGAGCTCTTAATTTAGCTAAAACTTTTTAAAGAGCATATATTAAATATAAATACAGTATGATGTGAAATTACAAGGTGACAAATTCACTGTGAAATAGTCCATTTTTCTGCTGTAATGCTTTTTATGTAAAGTTTAAAAACCCAAAAAGCTAGGTAATCTTAGCAAAATGGAGAAGAATGAAGAAGTGGAAAACAGAAACATGCTTATTCTGAGACCAGAGCCTGTCCCAAGAAGAAAGTTGTTTCTGTCAGTTGGCAAGACGACAAAAATACTAGACGTTATTTCTCCTGCACAGTAGGACAGTAAGGAAAGTATATCCCAGCCAAATAGGTCAAGAGATTGTCACCTTCTGTCAGATCTTAGAGGAATTCTTAATCTGGATTAGTTCTTCTTTACTAATCATTTGATTATCTGCTATTAGACCTTCCCTAGCACTGCAGTAAGTGTTTTATATAACTTAATTCACCATCACAACTATAAGATGGACCCATACTACAAATGAAGGAACTGGAGCTTAGAGAGGCCGAGGAATTTGCTCAAGGTCACACAGCTAATGAGTTGTGGAGCTGTACGTCAGCCACAACGAGTAAGATGTGCAACATTTGGGGGATGGACACGCTTGAAGCTCTTACTCAAGGGGGGTGAGGGCATGCACAATATATGTAACCTTAACACTTGTACCCCGATAGTATGCTAAAATAAAAAAAAAACAACCATATATATAAGTGTGCATCTACGATTTTTCTCCTGAACGTTGATGCTATATATCATACTTCCTTTATTGAGTGATAATGCTGAGTTCATTAAGAAGTGAGAAACCACTTTCTATGTACAGTATTCCCAAGTACCCCATGCAATCCTGAACTATTTAGCAAAACTTTCTTTAAGAATTTCCTACCCACCTTCCCCCCTTCAGCAGTATCTCCCCACCGCGTGGGGTGAGGGCACTAGCAGGGCCAGGGGAGCGGAAGCCAGCACCTTTGCAAAAGCGTTTTGTTTCAAGGGCCTCCCACTTGGCTGCCTCGACTACAGAGAATCAAAGAGAACACCAGTCTGCCCCCCATCCCTTCATTTGGCCCCACTTACTCCATGGAGTCAATGATTTTTTTGGGTTCCACAGGGCACGGATAAACGACTTCGTCGATGTGCGTCAGGTTACAATTAGAAAAGGCAGTAGAGATGTGTATGAAGGCTTCGAGCTTTGGCATCTGACTAGCCATAAGCAGGAGCTGCTGGGTGGCAGTGACGTTAAGCTGCACGGCGTGTCTAGGGAAGATGGAGCAGAAGGAAATACAACGAGCTTAGGTCGGCACCCGGCCTTGCTGTCACTGCACCTACTACTGGCACGTCTATCAGATTTCGGTGGCTGTATCAGAGGAGCAGGAAGGAAACGATGGGTCGTGGCTATACAGTTATGTGATACTTGGAATGTGTTATGTATTAATGATGTTCTCTGTGTACGTGAATCCTATTCGCTGAAGCGTTGTGGGTATTGTATTTAGAGATCACTCAGTTCTCATCAACTGGAAGGTAAAAAAAAAATCACAATCCTTTCCATTTAGAAAGGGGTTTCTATAAGCAGCCACTAAAAGAACAAAAATACAAAATCAAGCATCTTAAGAAGTTGGAAAATGCAAATAAATTGGAGGGGGAGCAACAGTGGATTTGTGATACAAGTTGCTATTACTGTAAAGGTCCAGGTCAGACATGAAAATTGATGTCAAAATTCTAAACTGTAGCTACTAGAATACAAAACTATAGAAACACAGTGTGCAATGACAATGAAATAGTTCATTCCAGGAATACACATTTTATCCAATATATAAGGAAACCCACTAATCTAGTTTAACTCAAAAAAGAGAAAAACTATATGATCATTTATGTATATTTTGAAAAAATGTTAAATAAAATGTAATGTCCATTTCTAATTTAATTAAAGAAATTTGCTAAACTATGGAATGATTAAACAATATGTATTTCAATTTGCTAGCCAATGTTTAATAGTGAAAAGCTAGGGGCACTGTTTGTAAAGTCAGGGCTAGGAAGAATGCCTAAGCATCACTACCACTACTTAACATTACTCTGAAGTACTATCCTTATAATTAGAGAGGAAAATTAAATGAACAGATAAAAATATTAAAAAGACATTCATAAAAATCACTATCAGATTATGCAATTGTATACCTGTAAAACAAACAGAAGCAGCTCTAGAAGAAAAGCTGGGATGGACAACAAGTTAATTCAGTAAGGTGTCCACTTATAAAAATTATGTAAAAAAAAAAATCACTTCCCTATATATAAACAAAAATTAGAGAATACAGTGGAAGAAAGGCACACATTTGAACTTGAACATTAAAAAATATATTAATCATAAATGAATATGTAAAGAAAGTGATAAAATTTCATTATGTGCCAGAATAGAAAAATCGAATAAATGGAAACACGTATGTTGTTCTTGGCTAAAAGGAATCAATCTTTTAAATATGTTAAGTTTTTCTAAATTAACCTACATATACATGGTAATTCTAATAAAACTCCCCAAATTTTTAAAAACTTGACAAAATTATTCTAAATTTAATTAAGAAGCATAAGCAGGTGATAATAGTCAAGAAAATTTTATAAAAATAAGAGTGCTGTGGGTATACTTGCCCTAACAGAATAAAAAAATACAGTAATTAAAATTGTGTGATACTGGCAGAGAAAGTCTGAGTAAAGGAACAAAATAAAAAGTTTAAAATTTGGAATTTAGTGTAATAATTTCATTTCAAATAAAGAATAAATCATTTAATAAATATTTTTAAGACCTAATCATCTGTTAGAATGAGTAATAAAGCTACTCCACGTTCACACCTACATCACTCTTTTTGTAATAGAATTTTCCTGACTATTCCTCTTTATAGCTAAATAAATTTTAAATGAGTCAAAGATCTAAATGTAAAAATTAAACCATAAAAATACTAGAAAAAATTATAAATAACTACATAAAAAGAGTTAGAAGACATAAAGTTGTTAAAATATTTTGAACCTTATAAAAACAAAGAATAAATATGCTGAATCTTCTAGGAAGTCTTAAAATAAGAAAAAATATTTCAATAGAAAAATAGGCAAAGAACAATAAAATGCATCTCACAAAAGAATAAGATGCCAAAAAGCATTTAAACAGTAGTAACCTTTGTAATCATTAAAGAAATAAAAATCAGAACATACAATACCATTTCTACTATCACACTGGCAACATTAAAAAAGAAAGAATTCTAAGACGTATTGTTGAGTGTAAAAAAACTAAGCATTCATTTGCACAGGGACAGTATAAATTTACAACCCCTTTCTGGAGAGCAATTTAGCATTACATGTAAAAATGTAAACTGTTCATACCCCAGACACATCTGATATGTATCTGACAATTCTTACTTCTTGGAATTTACCCTAAGAACAACACACAAAGGAGTAAAAAAATTTATGCACAGGCCTGTTCACTGTAGAGTTTATAACAGTGAAAAATTATTATAAATCTGAATGTCCACCAACACAGAACTGGTTGAATATATTATATACATGCACAGTGGAATGTCATGCAGTCATCATAAATTCTAATATTTATTGACAATGAAAGATATCCAAAAATATAATTGAGCAGGTTGCAAAACATCATTCTCAATAGGATGCCTTTTTTTTTTGTAAAATCGAGCATATATTTTATTTATTTATTTTATCGAGCATATATTTTATATAATCATAGATGCATAAAGAAAAGTGGGAACAGATGTTCTCTAGAATATTAAAAATTATTACTGGATGGTGGGATTTTAGAGAAGTTTTGCGTTTTTTTTTTCATTGAGGATTTTTTTGTTTTTACAGAAACCATAAAGAAAGTTACACGCATATGTGCCCATGCACAGAAATGTAGACAAGCCACAAGAGGGAAATGGGAACGTACCTCAGTGGGTCATCAAAGCGTACAGTGGCGGCACAGTGGAAGATGATGTTTGTGCAGGAAAGAAGCTCTTGCATGTCCTCCCTGCTAATGGCAAAGTCATTCTGATTGAGATCTGCATAAATAGCTCTGATCTTGTCATGCACAGTTGGACAAACTTCTTTGACTTTCTCAAACAGCTGAAACATAAATATATTAATAGGTCATTGTACCAAGATCATCATCATCATCATCATCTTGTTCTCGTTTGTACTGACCCAATTCATTATACTTAAAAACTGGTTTTAGTTGTAATAATATTACCTAAAGAAGGCATTTACTCAAGAGCCATCTGCTTTATTTCATGCAATTCAGTCAGTTTAGTATAATTTCTGCTCCTTTTAACTAGAGAAATATTTGAAAAAGTCAGTTCCAATAACAAGTAAAGTGTTTATTTTGAATTTTTCCTCTGAGGAGAAAAAGTGATAGTAAGTCATCCACATCCTGCCTTTATACTCCTTTCCCCCTTTAAGGCAGCCTTATGTTTACACAGGGTGACAGTTTCCATTTTTGGCTGGGAAATAACTGTTTTCAATGCAAAATAACCAGCCTTTATGCAGCCTTCACAAATTACCAGCAAAATGACCAACAACTCGGTTAACTGGCCCAGATTAACAAGATGTCTTAGCAGCACAAACATAATTAGAAATTAATAAATCAAGCAAAATTATAATGAGACAAGTACAATTTTTATGTAATCTCATTTTAATACAGTTGGCAGTTATTGTCTAGTAAGAGAATTACATGAGCTCATGTACTTTTTATGGGATAATAATTGATTTTTTTTAATATTCTAATTTACTTATAAAGGAAAAAGAAGAGCATTGGCAGGTTTAACTTTTATTACAATTATTCAAATTAGATAGAGCCTCACTTTCTCCTCCACACAGAAATTCTTAGATTCAATTGGTATGTTCCATTTTTTTTCAGAAAATATGATGGGCTCCAACTTATTTTGATTAAATGGAATTTTACTGTAGTGTTCGTATAGTATGTTAACAGTGAGGAAAATAAATGTACAACTAAATGTTTAGAAAGGTTAAGAGCAGAGAAATTGAGTCTGTGGTTTTTATTTATTTATTTATTTTTTTGAGACAGAGTCTTGCTTTATTGCCCAGGCTAGATTGAGTGTCGTGGCGTCAGCCTAGCTCGTAGCAACCTCAAACTCCTGGGCTCAAGCAATCCTCCTGCCTCAGCCTCCCAAGTAGCTGGGACTACAGGCATGTGCCACCATGCCCGGCTAATTTTTTCTATATTTTTAGTTGGCCAATTAATTTCTTTCGATTTATAGTAGAGACGGGGTCTCGCTCTTGCTCAGGCTGGTTTCGAACTCCTGACCTTGAGCAATCTGCCCGCCTCGGCCTCCCAGAGTGCTAGGATTACAGAGTCTGTGGATTTAATCATAACATAGTGGCAGAGGCAGTCCTCTTCTCCCCCTAAACCACAAAACAAGGCTTTCATCTACTTCTTGATCCTGAGTAACAGGCTTCTCTCCATTAGAGACCTACCCCAGGTTTTTTTTATAGAGTAACAAAAAGTTGATCTCAGGTAGTCAGAGAGATCATGAGCTATTTGTATCAGGCAAGACCATGCTCAGAGGCCATCCTGGGAATCTAATGAAAATGACTAGAGAAGGGAATTAAATTCATGTATTGGTCTAGCAAGTTAACATACCTCCGTTTACCATTTTCCCCGTACTGCAGGGTCAGCCTTTTAGTGGGTGTTACTGCAATTCTGATACTAATTTGGAAGTTAGGTCAATCCTCAATGCTTCTTTGACATCCGGGATTGATAAGGTTGATAAAATGTCCTAGGCACATTCTCAACAAAGAGGTCATTTCTGTGTCTTCCAGAAAGATCTTTAACATTGCTTCCAATTTCAATCAATCACAAGCATGCTAAATGTTTGCTTTCCAAACCAGATGTTGTCCCTCTTGATATTTCATGTGAATTGTACAACAAACGTATGTTGAATATTTTTGGATAAGCTTATCAAAAATGGGTACAGTTTCCCTCTTTTTTGATAATTGAATTTGTAGGAGGCTAGCTTTGAGTCTGCATTATAGATTTTGTTCACTGGCAATTTATTTAGGGTTCTGTGGACTCTGACTTTGGCTTGTGATGACTTCTGGCTACTGAGAGCAGGAAGCGGAGGATGACTTCAGCATCCACCCTTCTCCCAGGGGGGTTCCTTGCATGTGAGGTAATCTGCCATGCACGGGTTTTCTTTTGTCTTTGGTTTTTATGATTCCAAAAGGCAGAGGATGCTTTTATACCATATTATGCTTTCAAACAACCTGTGCAATGTTGAACACACCAAGATAACACATTTACAGCAGTACTATTTTAGGAGATAATTACAATTTTAGGAACTAACGTCCCAATCTATGTTCCGTCTAATGATCTGTGTTTTCAAACAAGAGGGCGTGTCTCAATGAACACAGTACAATTTTTAAAAGTCTGAGTTTTCTGATCTGGATATTAGCTGATCATGGTAAGTTGAAATAAATCAATGAATAGGCTGTCTCAATTCAAACCACAGTATTAAATGAGGATTTCATCTTACTACATAGCCTTGCCTAATAATAGGACTTGCCTTGTCAGGAATCTCACTATCCTGCTATAACTTCTAAAATAATACTCTTTAAATATTGCCACACTCTGAACAGAGTGCTAGAGATGACAGACAACTGCCATCCAGAAGGCCAGAGGTTTTGGCCAGCACTTTTCAAAGAAGAGTTATCCACAAACCCAACTGCACTGGAATCACTAGCATGTGTGTTAAAAATGTAGATTCCCATGCCCCATCCCATACCCACCAAATAAAAAATTACTGGGGCATACCCAGGAGTTTGTATTTTGCATCAAGTTCCCCAGTAGATTTTAATGCATGCAAATGATGAGGATTTCTCCAGTTAGAGTGTTAACATGGACAATTGCAGATGAACAAATGTGTATGACTCACTTCCCTTTATAACAGCTCAGAACATTCTTCACATCAGTGGTTTTCAAACTGTAGGCACAGAAAAATCAGGGAACCTAGTTAAAAATCATTTCTTTACACCATCCTCAGAGACTCTGACTCAGTAGTTAAGATGTGTAACCCAGGATGTTGTATTTCTTAACCACTTCCTCAGATAGATCAGGTCTAGGTACCATACTTGGGGGAACAGTGACTCTGAAAATTCATGTCTATTCTTAAATTCGGGGCTTAAGTTTCCCCCTCTAGTTTGTAAATTCCTTGATTCTTATTCATTCCTTTACATTTGACATTATGCAGTTCATTGAAAAGACTCAAATTTCATTTGTTGAATTATAATAGATCCCTGTACAAGTAGTAATAGAACCATGAATGGGAGTTTAATTCCTGAAAGTGGTTACCAGCTCTTTTGTCTTGGTGTGATGAAAGATAGCAGATAGCAGCTGCTAAAAGAGGACAAAAAGTGTTCCTCGGGTCCACTGTATTAACTGCCAATGGTAGCTCAAAGTGCTCAGAGCTGACCCTCTTTATAATAACAAGACCAAAGGATAAGACAAAATGGTGCAAATGGTTCCTGGAGAGGCTCCAGCTCTTCTGAAAGTTTTTTTGTTGTTTTACTGATGTGAGTGATTAATTAAAATTAAGAAAATTAGATAAGATAAAAATGAATAAAAATAAATATTTCAAAAATTTCATTGAAAACCCACCAATAGAGAACTTAAATTTATTATTTTTAATTCTAAGAGCTTATCACGTTCCTTCTCATTGTATATAAACTCATAGATTCTCTGTTCAATCAGTGGCACAGGGCTGAGAAGAAAAAGAGTTGAGTAACTACTCCACCATCATCACAACTGAAGCAGAGGAATTTCTGCCTTTCCGTTTTATGAACCCTTGTTCCTGACGAGGGTAGGACATATTTCTGTGGTCACTGAAAGATAACAGCTGGGAAGTGATCTAAACATTTCAAACTGTAACAAAGCTACAAATTTATCTTGGAAAGTCTGGGAGTGTTCCATTGATTTGACATTATACAGGCAAGTATTTCTGTCTCTTAATTTGTTTTTAAACATGAGAGACTATCCTACTTACATGAATAGTCTTGTAGCCCAGAGGCAAGAGAGAAACTTTGTAAATGCTTAGAAAGAAAATTCAACAGAATGAGAAAATCAGAAAGAGAAATCTTTTGGTTTCAATAAACTCGTTGGGTATGACTTCTGTAGTCAGACACGGAGTTTTTATTAGAAGCAGGAATTGGATGAGGCATGGGGACATCTAATTTATATAATGTTTTTGAAACAATGCAGAGGCCCCTTACCTTGGACTTTTCTGATCAACGAGTCATCCATATGACCTCACTTTGGAAATATCCACAGGAGGTTTGACGTCTACTTTCTGGGGGGGAGGGTTTGAGAGTAGTCATATTTTTCCTAATCATGAGAGTCTTTGATCTTTATGCATTTTATTCAGTCCCTCTCTTCAAATATAACTACATTTAGTCCCAATAACCCACCAAAATTTGCTTAATATTTTTATCTTGTGAAAAAAAGGTAAAGACACTTAAACTAAATATGGAATATCCGATATCCCAAAGTGGAAGAGACACTGTAACATTTTTAAGAGAATTTTTAGAGTGCTGAGTAAAAGAAAATCAATGGATTCTGCAAATTAGCTCTAAATTGAGAACAATTAAACATAAGTGCATGTAAATTAAAGCAGAAAAGATCATACCCGATGCACAGATTCACAAAAATGCACAAAATGTTAGAATTTTGCTAGTTCACTAGTAACTCCCATAAGATGTAAAGGATTAATCTAGAAGTTTTTATTGCTTTAATGAGGACCACTTCTATAAGACCATAAGGCAACATGGTGTGGTAGTGAGGTTATCAAACTTTGGCATTATAGCAGGGTTGCCTGGGAAGCTGTTTAAACAAACAAATAACAAAACCCCACCCCAGATGTCCTGACCTTGAAGATCTCATTCAACAGTTATGAGTTGAAGCTTGGGCATCTGTACTTTGTAAAAGCTCCCTAATGATTCTGACACCCACTGAATATGAGAACCATTGGTGCACTGGAAAGAGCTCAGGTTCTTTGGAGTCACGAAGGGGCTGGGTTTGAACCCTCATTCTGCCATTTATTTGTTGTGTGACTGGG